ACAAAATGTAAGAAATTTTGAGAATAGAAATCTATCTAATTTATGTCTCACAAAATTCTGCAACATAAATGAGATAGGTTGGGACGAAACATGAATTCTCATTTTAAAAACACGTATAAAAATGGTGACAATAAAAATAATATTTCTGTAAAGGTTTCCAATATGAATTTAACTAATTTTGTTCAGCACATTATGGTAAACTAATAAACAAAATAAATAATTAACAATATTTCATAAACATTGAAAAAAACATAATTAAATGAAATGAACTAAATAAGTATATATAAAGTAAATTATACTAATATGCTTAATTTTAAAATTGTTCCATATGAAAATACAAAAATATATAAAACAGAAAATCAGAGAGGAATATATAATAGTATAAAAATGATCATAACGAGATATAAATTACGTCAAATCCAAAAAAATAAAAATATAAAACAAAAAATTAAATTATGAGAATATATAAAGAGATAATATAACCAATAAAAAATAGAAAAATCTGCCCGAAACCCACAAATCATTTTCATCTTTCGAGCCAACATATTAAAAAGCCCACAATATTAACATCTAGATCTATATCTGGTAGGAACCCTAATAACACATGTTTCTCTATGATTCTCCACCGCACTTCCGTTTACACCCACACATCGACCTATACTATACACACTCAATTTGTCAGCTACTAACGAAGGTAAAACTCAACAGGTTTTCTATACAAACACAATCTAAGAAAAGAAAAAAATATATATGCTATAGGGAAAAAACAAGTAGGAAATAGAATACGGACCAAATACTCATAAACAATATAATAAAACTCATGCGCGTAGCGCGGGCAACTGACTAGTTTGTCATATAAGAAGAGATGTTTGTTGAGAAGTTCATGCATTATTGGAAATATTGTGGACACCATCTCACATATACAGTAAATCAGGCCCTTTGTTTGGCGTTTTGTGTTTCTGGAGAGTGTCTAAATACCAAAGTAAGTACTTATTGTTTATACTTAAATTCATTATACAAAGATTCAGAGTTATAACTCTTTTACCTTAGTCCATCTGTTTTGGAACAATGTAGGTATTACATGCATTAGAAATTATACTTGCATGGACATGGAGCCATACTTTATGCCGTGAAATTCATTTACTCATTTCCGTTATACTTTATGCAGTGAAATTCTGTTAAAAATATAAAAATTATTAAAACATTATTATATGCTTTTAACCTAAAATGGAATATTATTAAGGAATAAATTGTTACCTGTTAGAACCTTACATTTCAAAAGCCTTCAATTCTTGTAGGCCAAATTATTCTGGTGAATCCACTTGTTTATTTATCAAAGTGTATTCATTTTACTTTTTAGTTTTTTCTTCTACTTCTTATGCCTAAAATCGATTGTGTTCTCGTTTGATGTGCCTTCGGATGACATCAATTTAGTGGTATATCTATATGTATAGTATAAATATCCTTGTTTTGTATTTTGTTTTGTATTTAGCCCCATTAATAAAAAAAAAAAATTGATCATTACTTTATAAATATATACTTGTTTTATTTATTTTGGACATAAATGTTTTTTACTATATTATTTATTTTCTTAAAACCACTATTGAATATAAAAATTAAATAAAGGCTAAGTTATGAGGTAGAAAAGAAATTAAAAACTAAAGTGTTGTAATTCTAAATCAATGTAAAAAATTAAGATGAATGATGATGTGGCAGCTGATGTGGAAGATGATGTGGCATAAGGAGAAGAGAGAAAAAGTCAACTTTATATATATAGATAAGAGTTTATAGAAGATGGAAATAAACTAGATGTCGAGAGGTGACGAGTCCATCGTAGAAGATCACAAAAGAATTAGTAGTTAAATGCGATTGAGTATAAATGAATATAACTTAAAAAGATAATGATATGACTAAATTTTGAAATATTTGAGATATCATTTATTGTGTGAAATGAAGTGAGTTTTTTTAAAAACTCATGACATACTACTAGATTCAGAGTCGGACTTAACTGTTAAGATAAGATAGACACATTCATAACTTGGTCGAGAGTTCTCTTTTACTACATTACACTTTTCCGATGGATATAAAGCAAGTTTGATGATATTATATATGTATCTTTACACTTAATGATGTATATGAGGCTCGGTAAATTGGTGTTATATATAGAACGGTGTTATATTTGTATCAACATCTAATCATAAAGGATATCTACAATTAAGATCATGAGCTGGTCGTCGATGCCATTTACTCTTCTCGCAAATCTTTTCAAGTAATTTTTGTTACCATGTAATAATATTAAATCATTTATTTGTCAAGAAAATACTATCGCCAACAATTTATATGTTGTATATCGCTTAAAATTTTTAGTTTAGTGTTTAATTATATAGCTTTTATCTTTTATAATTTAAATAATTATAATTATGCTCAAAAATTAATATTGATAGAAGAAATTTTAAATTAAATTCCCGCGCAACGCGTTGGTTCACAATCTAGTGATTATACAAGGAGAGGGTAATGTAAGGTCTGTTACTATAGGCATGTTCACAAATATATCTAAATATCTAATACTATTTTAATTGGAAATATCAGCAATAAAAAAAGAAAATTCTCGTATCGAAATAAATGAAACTGCATGTTGTCTTCTGTAATTATCTTAAGACGTATGTAATGTAAATTTGTTAAGATTGTATAGTTTACAAAGTTTTGATATGTTTTGGGAACAAAGCCCAAATTTAGTCTTTAGCTAGTCAGGATTAAGATTGTATAGTTTACAAAGTTTTGATATGTTTTAGCTATTAAAGTTTTGTTAATGGAATTAACAAAAGGAGGTCTTTAATATATTGAATATATGTAACTTTTCATATGTATCGTTTCAATTAATAATATGAAAAAGAATTCTGACTTTCCAAAAATATTACCGCAAAGTCAAGATTTTTAAGAGATTATTGTTCGTTGTGGTTGCCATATCAATCAAATCATAGACTTTAGTTTCCCAAACAAAATCCACTATCTGGTTTGTTTTCCCGCCAAATTTTTTAAAATGATTTTAAAGGGTCTTTTAAAAGGTTTACAAGGTTTTTAAAGGGATTTACAAGAGTTTTTAAATGGTTTTTAAATGATTTGTAATGGTTTTTATAGGGGTTTAGAAGCTTACAAAGGTTGGAGAGTTAAATAAACAAAATTGGAGAGTTCCTGTTGGGATTGCGAAAGAAGACCATCTCATTAATATGTGTTTTGAGTAACTCGTATGATTACAATTACATATGTGTACATTTTCAATGATTGGATTAAAAAGCAGGAAATGTATTCCAAACAAGTTTGCTCAGATACTCTGTTTTCTACAACACATGTTAAGGGAAAAAAGAAACAGAGTGGAGTTGTTGATTTCATCATACATTGAACTTCTATAGAAATCTCACCAAAACTCATAACGGAAGAAGACACCGAACAAATATGTGAAAAACAAACTCGCAAATTTCACAATTCCGAAAATACGAATTTTGTACGAGTCTTCGATCGATTGATGCCACTATCAGAAACAGAATAACTACCTACAGAGATGCAAATCCTTCCATTGCTTCGCTCATGCTTCCACTTTGGTTCTCCTCTTCATAATCCTTTGACAAACGACTGTTACTTTTTTTTCTTTTGGTTAAAAGGTCAAGTTTTTATGTAAATAATATTGTTATGGTAACATAATCTGTCAGCATTAAAAACATAATCTGTTAGCATTAAAAACTGTAGATATATTTCCCATTTCTGTAGATATTTTTGACCAAAAAAAAAAAGTTTTCCTTCTGTATAAATAATCACACATAATTTTCTAAAATTTAGAACACAAAAACAAAACAAAAATGGTTTCAAACGTCAAAAATCGTTTGTTATTAGTGATTTTACTTGGTGTTGTCGTTCTTTCATCATCTACAAGGTTTAGTAAGAAGGTTACAAGTAGCCAAATCAACACCATCTGCACATATAGTGGACTTGATGCTTCATTCTGCTTTAAGTTGTTGAAATCGTCCCCAAAAATTGCAGCATTGGATCCTGCTGGCCTTGTCAAATATTTAGTCAACTACGATTCTCCAAAACATTTAGATATGCTGAAGCAATTCCAGTCGCTCTTCAACAGCACAACCGATCGCAGCGCTAAAGGTTCCTATCAGGTATGCGTAGACACGTTTGACAAAGCTACTAGTTGTCGTGTGACGCCCTCGCAGATTTGGGATATAAGGACTATTTCGGACTTCAAGAGGACGTTCAATGTATAAAAGACATGTCGGATGAGTGTGAAATGGAGCTGTCAACTTTCAAACCTAACCCACAACTCGTCAAACAAGTTTCTAATGTCAAAAAACTTTCTCATATAATTATGGTTACCGTGCAATCTTTTCTGCAAAAATAAGAAGAAAAAAAACGTTTTATCTAAGTTTCGGGATTGTGTTATTGAAAACAAAGTTATTTTAGTTTCGGTACCGTACCAAGTCCAGTTTGTCTCTTTGTTCTTTTCTCCACCGTCAAAGCCAAAGCTTAATACTTGTGTATCGCCTGAGAAATATGACTTCTCCGGGAAAATCTCCGAGATCCGACCGGAAATCACCGGAGGTTGTGACCGTGCAGCCGTCTTCTCCCAGATTCCCTATCGGCACACCTACTGCTGGAGCAAAACGTAAGATCGGGATCGCAGGAGACCTCATACAGTGGCTGAGGAAGAGGGAGACAAGGATGAGTACCATGATGCTCCGGATAAGCAGCAGCATCAAGGTTGACTTTGAATGTAGGTCAATTTCAGTTAACTTAGGAATACGTTTCTTTTGGCTTAGGGTACAGAAATTGTGTCGTCATTGAAGAATGTTACGTATTATAAGGCAACAACATTACTATGCTCTGATAAAGATTTGACACCTTTAATACTACTTTCAGTCTTAAGGTTTTGTATAAGGAAATTTCAGACTTACACAACCACATTCAAATGTTCATTACAACATTACATAAAATATAAAATAATCATAGACCTAACTCGTATGGAACTCCAGTAGAGTTGATCCATAAATTTCCCTGAATAAGTTTTTCGACCGTAAAACTTGCAGCTTCACTCATATCAATAATTCTTTTATAACCTTTCCAGTTGACTCTTTTGCTTGTATCTGCTCCCGGGCCTGTGTTTCTGTATTCACCATAATACAGAGTTGTCAGTGTTACCAAATCCTTTACGTCCCATGGCAGCCAGCCAGCTGGATCAATGATTTTGTCCAAAAGACACTCCATGAATACAACTCTAGAAAATGCCCGCCATGGACGTCCCAAATACATCTTTACAGTTCCATTGGTTAGTCTAAGATCGGAACCTGCGGTTATGTTGCATCTCTGGAACGAAAACCCTGACTAATCAGACTTTTTCTCGCGAGATTGTGCGGTCAGAACATTGTTTTGTTGTTTAGCCGGTTTACGTGCCTCAATTTGGCAGTATTGAAAGACAGCCGTTGCGTGTCCGCAGATAAAATCCACTGTTCCTGTAATATGACATTCCCGATAAAATTGTCTACCTGAATAAGCATACAGAGAATCTTGGAATGCATCAATCTTGCAGCGATATACGACTACTCTTTCAGCGCTTATGCGGAGAGCCACTGCCGGCCCTTTTTGTGGCCCAGCGGTATTTTGAATGCACAAATCTTGTGCTATAAACCCAAATCCGTCGACACCTGCATAGGAATCTTAGTATTAGTAATCTTGTGCCATATAACTTTGTAACAAATAAAAGCATGAAACAAGTAATCATGTTATGAGAAGAAGCAGAGAAACGTTCAACAGAGGACAAAGTCATGGAGGTACAAGAGCGGGAGAATCCAAACGTGGAGGCGGACAAACTGGTGAAAATTAAAAAATCAGCTGAAAGGAAACCAAGGAGAATAGAAAACTGGTTGTCTGGTTCAATATTTGGCACTGGAGATTGAGTAGAAGGTATAGGAAAATTAGACATAATACTCAGGGTTCATATGTGGCTGCCAAAGACACATGTCACCACATGATCATCTAAGTAATTATGCAGAAGTGTCTTGAGGAAACATGTAAAGTTATTGTGGTAGATTAGACACAATCAATCAGTTTGAGAAGAGGGTTTTGGTTGCAAGATGACAAGTGTCTAAACTCTCACGACAAAAAAGACAGTGATGAAGAGTGTTACCAAGTGTCGCCGTGTCAAAACTCTTGGTGTCGTCGCTGTTCAAATTTCCGGTGAGAATTGTCAAGTCTTGTCCGTCGCCAATTATAGTTATATTGGATTTCTTAACCCCGACCCGAACCACTTCTCTGTACACTCTTCTTTTGACATATATTACAAATCGCTTCATACTGTTCTCCGGAGCAGCTGCAACTGCTCCGTTCACAGTGGTGAAGTGACCTGTGCCGTCCTTGGCAACAATGAAGTCGGCGCCTTTATCCTTAGGCACCTTCAAGAAAACAAGTGAAATACAATGAGCTAACCCGCGTTTTAAATATTATGTTATATGGAAAAAGTGACAAATATGAGAACAAAATCCAAGTTATTGGGCTTCAAATCTTTGTATTATAATAAAGGCCAGTTCATATAAGACTTTATTTTTGGGCCTTTTATTGTGGGCTAAATTTGCTTTTTCTAATAAAATTCAAACAAACATTTTTCTAAACAAAAAAATAATCAGGGAAAAATAATGGGAATTTTATATTATCTACTACACAATGGTGGGACCCTTACGTAAAATATCACATTTCACAATTTTTTTCCCATATACCACATTGTTGTGGTAGTGATAAGATATTTGGACAATTTTACCCTTCATTTAATGGTAGAAGAAAAATTTGTTTACAACAAATTAACAATATAATCATGGATTTTGTCTATCACAAATATTACTATAATGATTATAATTTATTTGTTTTCCTATTTTATATTAGTTATTATTAATAAGAGTTGAGATTCAGTTATCATTATTAATAGTTGGCATAGATATGTCCCTAATTTACAGTATATTTGATTGTCTCATAAATATGTTTTTATTTGTATGTGGAGACAAAATAATAAAATATTAAAGAAAATATGTTTATAGACGATCTAAGAATCACATACTATATAAGAACAATGGACAAAAACACATAATTATCATGGACAAAAATATATCGTGGACAAAAATATATACCAAAACTATATTTACATCCTTTCCATCATTGATATCATTTTCAGAAACTATCTTTGCTTACCTATACAAACAATAGACAAGAGTTATTATTGAAAATATTTTCATAAACTCATTGTTATACAATTGATAATTTTTATAGACAATATGTCGATCAAAAATTAATTCTTATGGTGGACATATGATTTATATATATTTTCTCGTGGACAAATTTCTAGATCTGGTTCTCATCTTCTTTTTCACATATTTCTATCCAATGGATTTTAAATAAAAACAAACTTATTAATCAAATCGGTTTGAATCATAAAACATAAGAAGAATAGATACTTACCAAGTTGAAAGAAGATCTTGAGAAGAGGGGGAATAAGGAGAACTCCATCGATTTTGGTCAATCTACGTTGATAAATGGAGGGCGGCGGAATCATGTGAAATCGATTTGATTTGATTGTGAGGAAGAACAAAAAATGGTAAATTTTAAAAAATTAGCAGAGATAAAATGGAGGTTTTGTTGGAAAGTGAGAGAGAAGTTGAGTTAGCAAGAGAAAGAGAGGACAATGAGGTTTTTTGGTTTTGTTGGTGTCGTGGAGTTTGGGAGAGAAATGAGAGATGATAAGGTATAGGGTAAAATAGTCTTTTTCTCTTTATGAAAGTGGTAGTGTAGAAAAGATTTTTAAAATGTGGTAGATTTCAAAAGAAAAAAATGAAATGTGGTAGTTTCTTTAAAATTCCCAAAAATAATTTTAACTGGAGAAATAAACCAACTTTTCAAAGAACATGGTCCGTCGGAAGTAACAAACCAAAGCTCAGAGCTAATTGGTAAAGTTGATAACTTTACTTTTTTCTTCTCATATTTCAACAGTTTTAGTGAACCGAAGACAAACACGGAAATAATTTTTTGGCTGATGAGAGTATTCAAAATTCTGATTCTAATCATCAAATTCGAAAATAGTTATAAAAAAAAAAGAATCATAAAAAAGGGCAACTTTCAAGGTAGGCTGAAATCGAATGAAACCCTAAGTTGAAAAGGAGAGAAACTAGGAAGACATCTCCCTCCGGTTTTGAACAATAACGATGAAATCGGATCATTTCAGATCTCGAAGCGTCGGTGTTTAAAGGAAGCAGATTCTTGTTGAAACACCGGAGAGGAAGAAAATAAAGAATTTAACGGAGACTTAACAGTTTTTTTTTTGTTTTCGAAACAGACTTTCTATTAAAAATGCAGAAAAGGATAACAATACAAAAGCCCAGCCCGACTTTAGTAGATAGTTTATGGCTATAGTTAAAATAAAAGGCCTTAAAGGCCTAAACTCAATAAGCAAGGAGACACATCAAGTAGATCTTAGGTTGAACCATAGAGAGAAAGTCGTAGGTGATGGAATAGAGAGAAAGTCGTAGGCGAACGGAGACTTAACAGTTAGCTTATAGATTATTATTAAATTAACTTTTGACTAATTTATGGGCTCTATTTGCAAAGTCAATTACAACTTGACCGTATTAATTTGTTTTGCAAACACTAAACAGCAACAACAAAAAGTCAAAAATTAGTATATTCGAAGCTTTTCTCTGCTAATTAGAAGGATACAAAAAATTACTTTGATCATTTCTTATTGTTGTCCATATATATATATATTATTATTTGCCATGGGAATATAAAGCTAGAATTTAATTAGATATAAACAAACGTGTAGAGAAAAAATATTTTAAATCAGATTATCGATCGGTGTTGGTAATTTAAATTCTTTTAAAAATGTATATTTGCAAAGATGTAATATATATGTCATCGAAAGTTCCAGTTTTTTTTGTTACACATTCAAAACAAAATATCCGTGGTTCAATAAGCTTCAATCATAACAAAAAAAAAAACTTAATTATATATATAATTACACAATTTTTTTTTTTTTGATAATTATATAATTTGATAATTACACAATTTGTTTACAAGTTACCTGATCGAGGGAGAGTGCTGGAGCCACGAGTAGAAAAATCAAACTTAGAAGTTGCATCTTGGTAAAAGAACCCATTGTTGAAGCTTCAAGACTTGGAGATTTCTCTTAATTTGAAGAAGATGAGTTTTTTTTTTTTTTTTTTTTGGTTAAATGAAGAAGATGATCAATGCTTTTGGAAGAAGATGAGATAGTTATACATACTCAACTAAACTAAGCTTCAGAATATATATAGAGATTTACGGAAATTGTATTTACAGCTAGCGCTAATGGAACGTCTATACATCTATCTGCATGCATGCACTAATAAGGAATATTAGACCTGCTATTGACAGTTTCTGTTTTTGTGATATGTGACTAAATTATACGTGACGACAATTTTTTCTCATATGCGTTTGTATATGCAACCTACAATATACAGATAACGATATTTATTATCAATAATCAAATCAGAGTATCAGACACATGAAAACAAACTGTTTAATTTGTATAAATAAATATATGAAATATTAATGAAAAGAGTGCATCAATATATAGAAAGAGTGAAACAAAAGAACCAACAAATATGGCTTTTGTATGATTGTTAGAATAAGAAATGTGCGTCTGGATTACTCATATAAATGACTTATTGGTGGATGATCCATTAATGCAAATGTTATATACGATGAAAGTTTATAATACATTGAATTAAGATGGAATCTTAAGAAAGATGGTCCATTAAGAAATACAATTTACACCAATTAATCTGGCTGCTGGATATATGTGATCGATCATAATGTTCACCCACTGCTAATTAAAGGAGTCATCATCAATTTCACGCTAATTTAATATTTTTCTTCTGACTTTTGGCATAAGTTACCCAGTTCTGTTGCGTTGAAACAAAAATGTCATTGTCAAGTTGACTTTGAATTTACCATAATCCTTTAAATTTATTTTACTTATGACCCTTTTTTTTATATATCATTTCATTACTAGCTATTACAGTATAGTTTAACAGAACAGTTAGGAGTTAGGACTCATCATTGTACACGTAGCTAGTCGTCCTAAACTAGCCATAGTCCCATAGTCCTCTTTCTTTGTTATTAAATTCACTGTTTGGTGTACATATTATAAACATTAGCGTTACACTAGATAATGATAATAAAGAGAATTTTATTCAGCAAGAGTATATATACTACAGTATCTTCTATGTGCCTAATTGATGATTACTAGAGAGAAGACCCGTGCGTTGCGTGGGATTGTTCGCTATGAATTTTTCCTTCATTATTATTATATTTGGTATTATATTTTTAAAATAACCAGTTGGTTATATTAATCTTATGAGTTCTACCACAATATATACAAAAAGTGAATATATAAGCTCTGCATACTAAAAGGCTAATATTTTTGACAAAATGTATATGCTACATATTAGTTTTTATTACCACCAAATTGTGCTCCATAAATGCCATGTATGAAGTCCAACCCTCTAAAAAATGTGATTTACCAAAAACTAGGAAATAAAAAGTTGAAGAAATCATACAATCATTAATTTTAAAATATAATACCAAATAAACAATAATTAAATAAAAAATCATAGCGAACTATCCACATCAGCATTTTTTCTAATTTTTGTTTCAAGCCCAACAAATAATCTAAACCCATATATTTTGTTTATCATTCTATTGTCTTTTACCCCGTTAGTTTGTAATTTAAGCCCCAATACTTTTATATCCAAATTGGGTTTACTTTATATAACACTGAAAGGAACACATTGTTTAGCCCAGTATAATATAAGCCTAAATAAGTTAATAGGTTATTTCTTCTACGGATTTCTGTCGTTTCTACTTCAGCTTATCAGAATTCAGAAACTCAGTCTCTTTTTGATTTAATAATCGCTCATGAGATTCTTGCATTTCAAATCTCCACGACTAAAGTACTTAAATGCGTAAGTTAATTCTAACATATATCAACAAATTCTATACTCCATTCAATTGCTTCTTATCCCCAACTAAGTTTCGGTGATTTTACATTTATTTTGATAGTATAGGCGTTACAGTTCAGTTCGAAAATGTTTAGCATATCCTCTTAGCAATTTCCTCACTTCCTAACATTCATTTAGTGCATAATATGTTATTTAGAATTAATAATTCATTTAGTGCATAATAAAAATAATTTGTTTTATAATAATTAGTAAATTATTTTATTATGAAATTTGTTATTTATAAATAATAAAAAATTAAAGATAAAGAAAAAAGAAATTACATAATGTTAACATATAATTTCTTTTCATGGTAATAAATAAATAAATAAAAATAAAAATATGTAAAATAAATTAAATTTAAAATAGTAAAACCAATACTATGAGAATTTTATTAGTAATAATAAATTCAAACTCTAAACAACAACAAAATTTAAAATAATCATACTTTTGGAATTTTAAATGTGGTAATGTGTTTTAAAATTTAAGTAAATTTCAAATGCATGGTAGAATAATACAAATTGTTCATAATTTTACTTTCAGAATTTTAAAGAGGAAAAATAAATAATTTTAAAGTGAAACATAAGTTCTACAAAAATATTACATATATTTATTTATTATTAAATTTTAAATAAATAAAAAGATTATTAAACTCAATTTAAAATACTCTAGCACGAAAATATTTGAAAGGTCACACTTTATGCAGTGAAATTCTGTTAAAAATATAAAAATTATTAAAACATTATTATATGCTTTTAACCCAAAATGGACTATTATTAAGGAATAAACTGTTATGATATGTCTTAAAAGTCAACTCACACTTCAATATATATTATATAAGAGTTTATAGAAGATGGAAATAAACTAGATGTCGAGAGGTAACGAGTACATCGTAGAAGATCACAAAAGAATTAGTAGTTAAAAGCGATTGAGTATAAATGAATATAACTTAAAAAGATAATGATATGACTAAATTTTGAAATATTTGAGATATCATTTATTGTGTGAAATGAATTGAGTTTTTTTAAAAAACTCATGACATACTACTAGATTCAGAGTCGGACTTAACTGTTAAGATAAGATAGACACATTCATAACTTGGTCGAGAGTTCTCTTTTACTACATTGCACTTTTCCGATGGATAAAGCAAGTTTGATGATATTATATATGTATCTTTACACTTAATGATGTATATGAGGCTCGGTAAATTGGTGTTATATATAGAACGGTGTTATATTTGTATCAACATCTATCATAAGGGATATCTACAATTAAGATCATGAGCAGGTCGTCGATGCCATTTACTCTTCTCGCAAATCTTTTCAAGTAATTTTTGTTACCATGTAATAATATTAAATTATTTATTTGTCAAGAAAATACTATCGCCAACAATCTATATGTTGTATATCGCTTAAAATTTTTAGTTTAATGTTTAATTATATAGCTTTTATATTATTTTATTTATAATATAAATATCTAATACTATTTTAATTGGAAATATCTAAATATCTAATACTATTTTAATTGGAAATATCAGCATTAAAAAAAAAAAAAAAATTCTCGTATCGAAATAAATGAAACTGCATGTTGTCTTCTGTAATTATCTTAAGACGTATGTAATATAAATTTGTTAAGATTGTATAGTTTACAAAGTTTTGATATGTTTTGGGAACAAA